ATTAGGAAAGGTGAATTGGTTGCAGCATGTACTCCAGTAAACAGGGTTGAAAGAAAGAGTAACATCCCAGAATCCGTGTTTTCTGAGATCATTGCAGAAGGCACAATTGAGGAAGAGAGTGCTGTCTCAACTGTCATTCAGGAATTTCAATATGTTTTCTAGTGTCTTTCTGCTGATGTAGGTTTAACCAGTTTGAACAGCACAGAATCGACTTCGGGGTGATTCGACAATCAAGCAACGTCTAAGATGTCTACCGATTTCTAAACAGGAAGAGGTACGGAAACTACTAAAGGACATGCAAGAAAGGGGCTTCATCTTTAACAAGTCCATGGGCATCTCCCATGGACCTCGTTGAAATCTCCCATGGTTCCTCGTTGAAAGAAAGGCGCTTAAACTAGATTTTTCGTTGTCTATCTCCGGCTGAACAAGGTTATGAAGAAAGACAGTCACTCTCCTACCTAGAATTGACGATATTCTGGACAGTCTGTCTGGAAGCAAGTGGTTTTCGACACTTTATTTGAAGAATAGTTAATGGCAGATAGATATAGACTGTATGATCGCGAAAAGACGGTATTTACTACCAGACAAGGACTTTGGAAGTTCACGAAGTGTCAGCATTTAAAGACTAGAGACGCCCCAAAAATATCCATTAGCTGAGACGTTTCCTGAAGCTTTGCCCCCAGAAAACGTATGATTTATGAAGGATTTTTCTTTCATCACAAGGCCCCTTAAAGCAAGCAAGAACTGAAGGAACTTTTCACATCTGCTCCATTGCTGACGTATCCTCAGCTAAACAAACCGTTTATTTTCAATACGGATGCGAGGAATGAGAGTGCCACTGCTCTTTTGTCCCAAGAAATAAACGGTCAAGAACGTGTCATTGCCCACTGGAGCAAGTGCCTATCTAAACCGGAGAAGAATAACTGTGTCACCAGGAAAGGGCTGCTAGTTAAAGCAGTAGAACATTTCCCTCATTATCTCTAAGTCAGAAAATTTCTGCTCCGCATGCATCCTTTATCTGGCTCCTAAATTTCAAAACTCTGAGGGTCAAATAGCCAGGTGAATACAGAGACTCCAGTAATATGACATAACTATCCGTCATCAGAAGGGATGATCACATGGAAATGCCGACGCCCTATCTAGAATATCCTTCCAGAAAGCTGCCAATATTGTTGTAAGGTCTAAGTGAAATACGAGCTACTTTATCCTGTTGCACGTCAAGTTACGAATCCAAAATCGTCTGATCCAAACATATGGAGTGACGAAGAAGTCAGGAAACACCAGTTGGAAGACAGCGACATCAAACCTGTAGTTGAATTAATAGAATCTTCAAACAAGAAACCTACCTGGTAGGGAATTTTCATGTATAGTCCTAAGAGAAAACAATACTGGGCTCTCTGGGATTCACTCCCTGTTTGAAACGACATCTTGTACCGGGAGTTCAAATCATATAATGGAAAAACATTCCGATGGCAGCTGATACGTCCAGAATCCGTGATGCCGGAAGTAATGAAAGAACTTAGTCGCCAAATAAATCGCCATCGCCAAAAGTCGCTAAACTTGACGACCGTTTTGGGACATTTTGGTCCCGTTCCTGTATCACCATAGTAGGTATTGTAACTGATCACAGTAATAGCCGTAACCGTAGCTCAACCCTCATATTACTTTTCAGTAATTCCTAGAAGCAGAAAGTACTAGAAATATCTTGGCGGCCGGGTAAAAACTACATAAGGCCGGTGAGAGCATCTGCTCGGAATTTTTGTTCTTAGCTGGTAGCTCAGCGTGTGTTCTGAGCACTATCTCCAGTTTAGCTTCGTTCTTTAGCTGCGCTTTGGATTGCGTTCATAGTAGTTCGAAGTGCAATTACGAATTGTAATCTGTGATATTATGAAGAGGTGTATGACTGTTTTGTGGAAATAACCTAATTTGGTAAAACCGTTTTATTAATGAAGCGCGATCTTGTAAACTTATCGTCACTGTGAACAACAAGCACAATGAAAACAAAGTCTCTTCCAACTCCAACTCTAGCTATATGCCGTGATTAGCACAAAGACTTCGTTCTGTGTTCCGGCTGTCTTAACTTCTGGTGCCTTAAAATAGCGCTTCAAGTAAAATGATTACCGAAATGTAGATCCAGAAGGACAGAATGCAGGATGGTAGACTGTCGTGATCACTTTGTCACGCGTGCAGCTGTCGACATCGCAACTGGTTGAGTAACATTTCAGATAATTGCGCTGAAAGTTACAAATTGGTACAAATAAAAAATAAAATAAAGCAAAATCAATAATTAAATATAGTACATAAATACGTCATCATGAGTAAAAATGAAAAATCAGTTTTTAAAGTTCAGTGAAGATAGGGTAACAGTCACATGATGCACGTAGTCAGTCTTTCTTAGCAATAAGAATGAAAAGCTTATGCAGTCCTACTAATTTCAAAACAATTAATATGGCATATCAGTGAAAGAAATAATAAAAATTTCTTGAGTATACATATCCCAGCATATAGTTCAGTAGCATCAACAAGCGTGCAATACACAAGATTGCTGGTTATGTGGGTCTCATGGGAGGTCACCCAACCAAGTAGTGACTCTAGCCGTGCTGCTTAAGAATAGAGTTAAACTCAGGTAGTCCTTCGTGGAAATAATAGTTGCAATAATGAAAATAGAAGCACATAATCCAGTAGATGAAGAGAAGCAAAATTCATATATATATATATATATATATACATCACACACAGTTCTGCAGTGATCACGGTGCAAAATACATGAAGGAAAAGTCACGTGAGGTGGTCCCCCACCCAGGTCGTGGCTCTTAAAGTTGCTGCTTAAGTTATCCAAGTGCAAAGACGTCCGTTTTTTTTTGTAAAATTAATCAGTAATTAGTAACACATTTAGGGAGATTAGTTCTGGTTAGCACTTAAAACATAAGTCACAAAGTTTCCAGGAATGTTTCAAGGTTTTATAACAGCTGTTGCATTACGTCGATAAAGATTTACATATTTACTGCAGGTTTTTTAATTAAAGCGCCCTCCGGTGACGCTATTTGTAACTTTTTTTCCTCTCTGAAAAACATTCTTATCCCTTCATTAAGTTCGCCACAAAATTTCACGATTTTCTGATCGTTGGTTTCGCTTGTAAGCAGCTTTAAACTAGAGTTCTTTAATTATAGACATCCTGTATATTTGCTGTAAATACTGTGTTTTAGAGGCCTAGAGATATGGACTACAGTTATGTGACTGAACGACAAATTTTGAAGGAAAAAGGTCAAAAAGAAGCAGTTTTACCGAAGACATCTGTGAAGAAGATAGTGCTTAGTACTTTTCATACAAAGCTACAAAATTTATCGGAATAGAAACGCCATTAAATGTAAGCCTGTAATAAGAAATAAAGTTTATAATTATTTACATACAAACAAAATATGCTTTTTTTGTATGTGTCGAAGAAAACTTTAACAGATAAAAAAAAGAAATTAGGTTGTCATTTGTTATTTTTAAGTTTTGTCTGAACGTTTTGAAAGTTCTCATAATTTATTAAGTTAAAATTAAGTTATTTATTGCTTAATTCATATATTACAATTATTTGATATAAATTTTAGTCTGTAAATTTAATATTTAGCTGTCAGTACGTTTAAATTACAAAATGTAACCAACAGAAATGTCTTTCAAACACCAGTCTTTAGAATTTAGATAAAAAATAAAAATAAATTCGAGTTTCTTCTGCGTTATTATTACTATTGTTTGTGTAAATTTTGATAAATGTCTAATCAGTAAAATTCAGTACTTAGTTATAATGTACTTTCTCCCTTCTTTCAGGATGCTTTCATGGTGTAACAGTAGCACACTCGGGACGTATTCGAGAGGTCCAGCTTCGTGTCCGTACGTTTTTCTCCTTACCTGCTTTAAAAAATTAGTGAAACATTTCAAATTTTAAATTGCGTCCAAAAGGAATTTTTTAACGTTTTGTGATTTACCTTTATTTATTAAATATCATGTTCTTCGCACTTAAACCATAAAATTCAGTTCAACAGCAATATCGCAAAATAATTTTAAAATGAGCATATGTTTAGAATTTCCAATATACAATTCCGCGCGTTGGAGATAAAAAAGATTTTTTCCCGTACAATGTTGCCATTACTCACTTTTAAATCGTTGACTTTGTTAATCAAAATTCGATAAAGTTTTACAAAATATGAGAGAGATAATAAAACAAATTCCAAATTTGGGCTTCCAGATGCCCATATTCGGGTGGAAACGCACTTTATTCAAAATTAGACGGCTCTAGGTACCGTTGTTTTATTACAATGCGAGAAACATACATACATTTACGCATATTCTTCAGATTAATTTAATTTATTTAAATATAATACAGGGCGATAATATTTGATGGCAACAATTTGAAAAATGAATCGGACATTTGTAGCAACCCAATGCAAAATGCCAAAACGAAAATAATAATCCTTCAGGGCAAGTTTCCCCTTTGGACTTAAAGAAATAAATTTTTTTTTGTTAAAAAAATTACGGCCTGTCAGCTGCTATCAGAATGTGCAGTCAGCCCTTATGCAATTTGAGTTTGAAACCATTAATGTGGAGAATGACTAATGTAAATAAAGAGTATTGATACCCAAAATGACATGAAAAGATAATTAGTTGTAATAGGGAAGTTCTCACAAACTATTTAACCTAATTCATAATCTCACTTCCAAAGTATGTCCTTTATATTTAAAGCCAAATTAACAAGAGAAAATATGACCTCAGTTTTCAAGGTAAAGGATGATCTATAAATAAAAGAATAGCCATCGTTTCTTCTTCATGTCATTTAGTGCAATCAAAATCTCATTATATTCGTGCATCTGCGTATGCCAAACTGGTTTTTCAGCTTGCTGTTTATTCTTCGGTTTCTTTACCGGACTCATTTCATAGTTCCTTCGCATTGGTTCGTTTCCCTTTGCAAAAGTTTTGAGCAAATATGCGTTTGTGAATTAATTATCCTTGTTTCCGTCTGAAATATATATGACATATATTGTTCCTGGCTAAGTTCCAGGGAAACATTTCTATGCAATATATAAAATAATTCTCCTTATTAAATGCTTTTATCGACGTTTGCAGAGAATAATATTTTAATATGTCACTAAAGTAGAATGTACACATTTGTTCTTTCACCGGAATACTCAAGAAGCCTTGTACTGTGGTCAACTCACAGGTAAGGTTTATTATACGTTTATTAAGTAATTGTATTAAGTACCCAGTTCCCATTATTAAATGGGATTATTAATTATTTAATAATCATTCCATTATTAAATGATAAATTCCCATCATCTTACCTATATTAAGTACCTACATATCCATTATTAAATATAAATATTCCCATATTAAGTAATATTTTGTCTTTTACTACTTTCATCAACTAAAAAATACATGCAGGTAGGAATTTTTTTTAAACTTTCTTCATATATGAAATGAAGAAGAAAAGCAAAATATTTAAATAAATAATGGATTTATAAAAAAATTAATTTAACAAATATTTAAATTAATAACTAGAGGATCAAAACGTTAGTAATCAAAATTCAAAAATTATTCACTATATATTTACTACAATGGGTGGGCACATTAGTTTCAGTACATACTTTGTCTCTGGATTATAGTACCAATGAAGTATTGTGAGTACAAAAACTTTTGAATTAAACGTTACAGGAGGAAAAGTAAATTTGAAGTAAAATAATTAATTAATTGGAAACAATTTTGTAAAATGAACTGAAATAATCTGAAGTAAAATTTCAACAGGCTATTAGCTATTTAATTTGAAAGTGCGTTTGAAGATATTGTCTAAAGTAAATGGTCATTAAACCATTAAAATGGTATGCTGTCGCCTGCGAAGTCGCCTGTTCACGTACAGGGCACAAAATGCCTCGGTCAAAGATAAACCACTTTCCGTCTTGGTCACCATATATTCGTTAGAAAATTAGCATAAAAATTTTTTTATTCCACAAATTTTTAATACTATTGTAAAACAAATTCTTCCTGAAATATCAACATTGTTTGTACTGCCGATCATCAGTAGATGTGAGCGGTGTTTGGGAGGTTAAAATCCATTGAACAGTGACAGTCTTCTGAATTTGATTATGGTGACAGAATAACACAAGTCGCACATCGCCGAGACTGAAGCGATGGTGTTGAGACATATAATATTTGTATCAGGAGTAGCATAGTCATTGGGAGTGACGTATAACAAAAGTACTTTACAAACAGGTGCATGGGAAGTGATATCGCAGTTATCAAACTTGTCAAACACAATTCAGAGGCGATCCAAAAGTATATGTTTTTTAAACATTGGCATTAAGATATTCTTAATTTGAAGTATGTTTTAAAATTTTAAATCAAACATTTTTACTGTTTCTTCCTCAGATATTTATCTAGTACTAACGTTTATTACTTAAGAATAATTAGAGATACATTAAACTGACGCAGGAATTTCAGTTAATGGTTTCTCTACTGAACATATTACACATAACTGTAGCCCAAAATGTTTTATTTTCTTTTGGGGGAAGTTTAATTTATTTAGCTAAACTAAATACTGTTACATACAGTAAATAATTGAATTGCTATATATCAGTCGCAATATTGGGAGAAAATTTTTAAACGGTAGTACATTTTTTTAATCAGAAAGCGGTGGGTCTATGTGTGTAGTTCAATTGATATCAGTTTTGTGACCCAAAGCAAGAGATCAATTTGTGACAAATCATTGAAAGGCACGATTTAAGGGAAGGAACATCTTCGTGAAAGTCTTTTTGAATGACGCTGGTAACACTTGGATTTACGCATCAAAAAAAAAAAAAAGCGTTCAGTAACAGTCTTCTTTTTTACTTTTTGTGCGTTTGTAAATAATTACTTTTACACAGCTGAAAGATTTTTTTTCGCTATCGCACACAGGAGGTAAAAAAAACTCTGCAACGGAGAGCTATATAAAAAATACGGAAGAAGTTGAATGAGTGCGTTAATAAATTCGATATACAGATAATGGCTGATATAGAACAAGTAAATGAGTCAAGACCAGCCGCTGATAAAATAGTTGAATGATATTTTCACTATCTTTCATATAAAAGCTTTCGTAAATATTCTTGAGCCAAAGTTAATATTTCACCCTCGCGAAATAGCCAGGTTGTTGATCAGCCTCCTCGCAAACAGCTCGTAAACATTATCAACTAATTTTCAGAGAGAATGCATTTAACTTGCTACTGTACTATTTTTCCTTCTCAACAATATTATTAGAAAATAATTAACAGTTGTGTTATGGGTAAGGTATTTATTTTCGTTATTTTCTTCTTTATATTTCATGTTAATCATGATATCTTACTCAAGTTTTTAACTGTGGATTTACTTATATTATGCATAGTTAATTGCTTTCCTGCTTTCATAAACATTTTTTAATTAGCTCCAATTTAATTTAACTCTAGTATCATAGACACAGACATTAACCTAAGTTCATAAACATTCTTACTAAATCATGCAAAAACCTACCATGGTCTTAGTCGAAGTAATTTTTCAAGAACTTTCTTTGAAATTTTTTATAACATTGTCAGCTTACAAGAGATCGTTTATAAAATATTGAGTCTTTTGGATCCTTGATCCCAGTGACCATTGTTTTTGCTTTCATTTGAATCAATCGTTGATTTGGTGAAGGATTTCATGAGTATTTAAATACTGTTTTACAGAAAGAGTTCTATTGTGATGCACCATCTGCTCGAGAGTAGAATAAGCATTACGACGTCTGCGTCGTAATATAAAAATCATACTTAGCGTATCAAATAAACTCATATATATCATTTCATTAGTAAAAGTCCACTTTCTATTTAAACTACACCGAAAAACGCGGTACCGCTATAAAGGTATTTTAGTAGATGAATATGAATTATCTTGCACAAAAGCATACTGTACTGTAATGATAATAGCCAACGCTTAATGTAATGCGATTTGTAGAATGCTTTTAGTACTAAATCATAGCTATGTACTAAAAGGTTGGAAATATTCTAAAAATAAAAAAGGTAAAGCTGTTCTATGAACTTTGTTTATTTTCTGTGTTTCTAGAAACTTTATAGAGTATAAATTGAATGAAGTTTTTTAACAGTTTTCAGTATGCATTTCGTTCTATTTTTGTTCAATATACACTAACTTTTACATAAAATAAACACTGCATTGTTGCATTCTTTTGCCTTTTATAAACTCTCTTTATTTTTTAAAAAATCTTTATTCTTACATTTAACACAGTTTGAAATAAAAATAAAAAAGCTTTTGCTTCAAACATTTCAAAGCATTCATTAATATCTGAAGCATTAATATGGTGAATCGAACTGGTTATCAGTATTTGAATTTATTTTCATTTCCATTTTTAAATTTGTTTAAGCATTATTAACTTGCAATACACAGAGATTAAACACTATTTTTCCGAGTGGTGTTATATTTAATAACAGATTTAGTCTTATGATTTAATAAGATTTGGAATTATGAACAGTTTCTGTTTTAAAATTAATAAAAATCCTAAAAGTGTAGCGTATTAGAATGTCATTGACTTACTATTTAAATCCTCTAAGCGTCAAGGCCGTATATATACGGCCTAGAATACTTTTTGCGATATCGGTAAGAACATATATATATACGTGCATATTAAAATGTGTCAAGGAAATTAAAGCACTATATTAAACGTACACAAATCCAGGTATGAAATACCATCAGAGTTTTTACATTAAAATCAAAAAAATAATTTGTTCTCATAGCAGTTTGGGGAAATTTGTGCTTTCTTAGCGAAACCCCTGGCCACTCAGATGTTTAATATATCATCTTTTCTATTTTTATCTTTATTTTAATTTCTTACCTTTTATGACATTTTTCAAAAAATTATTCCATATTTCTTCAGGATATCATTAGTCCCACAGAAATTCCCAGTCCATGAAATTCTGCTATTTCATAGTGGTTTAAAATGACAGACTCTAAAGAAGAAGGACCTCAGCATGCCATAAATATTAAAGCTAAAAGTATCGAAAATAATTTACAAGAAGAGAGTATTTTATCTAATGCTACATCTACAACTCCCACGAATGAAAATAACAAGAAAGAAGTACAAGAAGCTATAGATCAGTCAAATCAAGTAAGTAATGCTCAAAGATTTTTAAATGTATTTAAAAGGATAATTTTTAATCCATGATACTGCTTAAAAAGTGGTACTAGCATTTTAATGAGCTTAGCGTTCCACTTTATAAAAACCGTGAATATTTTAACTAATATTAACACAATAAAAACGTTGAAAAGAGGACGTAACAAAGCATTATCATTATAGGTCTCTTCTATGAAATTTTGAGACACATTAAACCAATCTATAGTTGAATATCGTAAGGAAATCTGTAAAAAGTATTTTTGCGATCAGAGATTTCTCTAAAATCTTTATATAATTGCAGTGTTCTTAGTTGTAAGAAAAGAAATGGCTAAAGACGAAACGTTTAACTACGATGAAGCATACAAGAGCTATCTGCTTCAAGACAGGAATTATATTTTTTTAAAATAATTCTAAACCTTACTTTCAAGAGAGTAAAAAGTGACTATTTGATAATTAAAATTAAAATGCAGGCGAAAATGGCAGACGTGTAGTGATAATCCTTATTAATATTATCAGAATCTCCCACTCTCCGGAAAAACAAACTCACAGCACACAAAGGATATCTTCATTCGCACATTTCAACAACGGTTTCTCAGCAATACACATCGCTCTTTTGACGGAATCTCCTGATATATTAAGAAGCAATCATAAAAGTTATTACCTATTCATATGTTCTGTAATTCATTAGAATTCCTGATTTGTTTCATGCTCAGTACTGAAACGTATGAACTACAACAATTACTATGTAGAACGGTACGAAAAGGTGAAACTCTGGAACTTCAGTACTAGAACTAAACCAGTAGTTTTGATATGGAATTAATTTCATGCATACAGAGGAGTAGTTTGATTGTATTCATCCCTGTGGAACCCTAACTTAAGCATGAAATAGAAATTCCACATGGGATCCTTACAAGAAGAAATACTAGTTTAAAGAAAAACATTTTTAAAATTTAAAATAAAAGTAGAAATTCACACATTTGCAGTTTTGTCTATTGCCACATTTTTTTCAATCATCTTATCGCAAATCTACTACTTATGCGGCTGATTACGTATCTGACAGGTGTCCCTGCAACAATTCTGCTTTACTACTTCATTACACTTTAGACACAAAAATAATCCTTAGAGTTACGCCACTTGTTTTCTATTCCAAATTGTACAATTTTCGGTATTACGTTTTGTTTCCACAAAAGTTACAGTCTTTTCATAAGTAAGTTAATGCAATTTCGATCCGTTAGCTAAGTGTTTCAAAGACAAATTTCTACTTAAATTTAATGTTGTTTTAAGTCTGTCAAATTGACTCAGTTCTTGGTTAGAAATCCTTTGGATAAAAAATTATTATTATGTCAATAATCCTTTAATCTGTTCCATTAAACAAAAGCATCAGAAGCTAGGTTACAAAAATAAGTTCCTATAATTATTGGTAAATGGCCCAAAAATGTTTAATTAAATATATGGAAAAGTTAATAAGCAAACGTCAACAGAAGCAATCGATTTCAAGAACTGGTGTGTGTCGAATTCCTACTGAGATGTACTGTTTCCTCTTATATATAAATATTAAACATATGCAATATAAATTACAATTTATTTAAATGGTTCTAAATTATTGAAAATATAAGTATTTTGTATGGGAAAGTATTCATGATTTACTTCGAAATAGTTTTGATGATAAAGAGAAGAGCATAGATGGTAAACATAAACATACCTAAACCTACTGTATACACCATTCTAAACACCAAAGTAAAAAGAAAGGTTTCGTACCTTTATGTAGTAGCTTAGAAAATATGTTCAAGAATTCATCTTAAATTACTCTCCTATATTAAGGATAGGAAGTTTCTCGTTCTGTTTTGATACTAATCAAAAATGTATAATTAACATTTTCTGAAGTACTTTCTTGGGAGAATTTGCATTCGCATAGCCATATTTCCTTTCCTTCCATCTTACAATAAATTATCTGTAGCTTCAGAGGTTATTAATTGCTTTCGAGCTCTAATGTAAATGTATATGCATCTAATATATATATATATATATATATATATATATATATAAATACGACAGTGAATGAAAAACATCAGTTCCGTAGATGTAGTAAGACTGACATAATAAATGTAGTGTTTTATAAAAAAAAAGATGATATTAGTTATCTGATCTAGAAAGGTTAACGAATAAATTAACCTAAAGGAATAAATTCACCTAAATGTCGAAAAAGGGGATTAAAGTTCCTTTCGAAATATTCCATTACAGCCGCATTGATTTCTTAGCTTTATTCTAGACTTTTAAAATATTTATTAGTCTGATTAATTTCATAAGATTTCTTTTCTTTCTTCCAGAAAAATCTGAATATCACTTGGAAGATATACAAAGATCTCAAAATATGTATATACAAACCTCTCATTCCCCTGAAGCTAGCTCTGTTGCTTTGGTTTGGAGGTAAGAAATTAAAAATTATTTCCGTATTTCCGTGAAAATTTACTCTTTGGCAGGAGTCTTTTTCCTGCAAATTTGAAATTTCTGTAATTTTGAAAGTTCTTTGCTTTGCAACAGAGTAACAAAATCAGCCAAATCTAAAATTAGCAGAAACATTTACACCAAAAATGTTAAGCATATTTAATTTCTTTTGGACTTGAAATAAACAAGCAATATCTGCAGGATTCAGCGAGATAAAACGATAGGCAACTTGATGGAACTGGAGTACTCGTAGATTAATTTTTATCTCAACTAACTGAAGCGGATCAATTTCAGATTTAAAATCCGATCTTGTTTTCAAGCTTGTTTTGTAAAATACAGAAACAGATAATTTTTAACAAATCATTTTTTTAATAATATTATTTCTCAATGCATTTATAGTCAAAAGAATCCGTTTCCATTTTTGACATAAAAATGAATAAATCCCAGTATGTGCATAAAACACTTTTACACTTACCAGAACATTACATTTCGTGGCAAGACTCAGTTAAAATTAACTTTTTCGAACGTCATGCCGAATAATATATAAATGACATTCCTCACAGAATGCCAAATCTTATTTTGATAATGCAATCTAGACTTTTCTTATTAATTTATTGAAATCTGCGATGCTTCCGGTTTCGGCAGTTTAAACTGTGTTTTATTTCACTTTAATAGTAACAGAAGCGTAACTAAATTTTAGGGACTAATATTTCGCTATCTTATTCTTATCGCTACTAAGTCAAAAGCCTTTTAAGTTTACCAAACGCTTATTCTAAGCTAAATATCCACAGAATTAAATCTTTCATCTGGAATGATAATGCTAAGTCATAAGACTTAGTTCTGCTTGAGGGAAAATTTTTGAAACTGAAGTCATAACAGCAATCGAGATACAGAACTAAGAATATAGGAAAGTAATCTATTTAAAAATTTGTTCTAACTGTCTATTTCAGCCGATATAATTAGTTGTAGAAGATTCATTAATTTCTTTCCAAATTACTCCAGTATAACGTTTTTCCTAATTATAAACTACAGTTTTTCTCTTCCAGTTAGGTAATCACCTTTTAAAGAATATTGAGTTCCCAGTATAAGAAATTTACTAAACAGATAATTTATAGAATCTTCTTTTTTCTTTTAATCCAAAGGGCCAATTTGCCCTGAAGGACTGTTAATTTTGTTTTGCCATTTTGAGTCGAAAACTTTAAAAGGTTGTATCCCTTTTCAAATCGTTGCCACCATATATCGCCCTGTCTTATGTTTAAACAAATTAAAGAATAAAGAAGCTGCATAAATGTATGTTACGTATCTCGCAATGTGATAAAACAACGGTACCTAGAGTTATGTTACGAAGGCATGCCGAAAGAAGAGAGAAGATACCCTTTTCAAAGGGCGACTGCGGCTCTAGGGGACCCAGTAGCCAAATGGTTTTGGAGACTGGGTCCCCTAGAATAGTCGTGAGCCCCCCCCTTTTAAATCGATGCTAAAGGCAGTCTTTTCTTCTTCTTTTTTTTCCGATGTCAGGAAACTGAAGATATTTGCAGTATCCGCGACAAGATCCGAACTCCGAATTTCCAGAATACATGTCGACCGTGCTTCCAGTTACATCACGAAGGCATGAGGAAAGGAGAGGGAAAATACCTTACAAATTAATTGTGAGATATTTATTTAAAGACAGTAGTCAATCGTGATTATCAAAGCATTTTTCGTTTGTTTAATAGCTTTTTTTTTCAAGTTTTTAAATATTTTAGTTTATCTTTTAAATATGCTAAATATCATAATTTAGGTATTTTACAAAATAATTCTAATTTCTTTAAATAAAACCTGATAATTCTTTCGAAAGATTTAAATTTAGATAGTATTTTATCCATCGATAAAAGCTTTTAATTCATTGTTTTCTATAAATTCAAGCATTCATGCCGAAGTTCCATAGCTATGAAAAACTTGAAAAGTTTTCATAACATTGGTCTAAGACAGACATTCTTCTTCCTGGTAATGTTTTAGTAAACAAGATTGCATTATATATTTCCTGCTTTTCTAAAAATGATGTAGTAAAATTCGATCTTGATTTGCACAGTTTAAAATAAAATTTTTATACATTTGAGAGTTTTCTCAAAGCAGTTTCTAATTTTTCATAGCTCGCCTTTTAAACCAGGTAATTTGCTACGGTTCAATAGTTCAACTTATATTCTCCACAATCCGAAACAATCTGAACCAATCGTAAAACTTTAACAGTTTTTCCGATTTGATTCACTTGCTTAGCTTTCATTTGCAATAACTTTTACTTTTTTACAGAAAATGAAATTGTTTTTTTCACTCATGACATTTGAGTTTTTTAGAGACATTGCATTGTCTACACAGTTTCCCTCCCTTTAATCTATGCCACGATTTCTTATGCAATGCGTATTTAATTTTTATTTTCACGGGTGGGTATTTTTTTATTTATTATTTTTATTTTCTCTCTATTTAAATAAAAGTCTTCAGTATTTTTTGGGTATAGATGGTTAATTATTTTATTTCATTCCAACTGATTAATGTTATCTATGGCACATTAGAATCAATTTCTTTATTATTACTTTTATTTGTTCAAGTGTTCATGTTTTATTAACTACCTTATTCTTGTTCAGTGTTGAGCATATTTTTACTAACACTGACTTGTAAATATATTTAAAACTATGTAAAAAGGCTACTTTAGATTGGCGTATATTCTGTATGAAATTCTCTCTATTTCGGAGGCAATCAGACACAGGATTCTCTTCTTTAAGAGCAAAAGGATTTTAAAAAAATAGATAGTTAAAAAAAGCTGACTTCAGGCTAAACCTTTACTCCTGAAATCGATTCTAAATTTAAGCTAAATTATTTCTGATAGATAAACCTAATAATCTATAGAGATTTATTCAAAATCTACGTGTCAAATTAAGATTTCTTTTTTGTAATTTTTTAACTATTTCATTAGCCTATTTCGTTTCCATTTAAAGAAAATATTATTTGCTGAACATTTTTCTTTAAATTAAGGTTCAGTAATTTCGAAAATAGCACCTGAAGGAATTAAGCAGTGTAATTATTTAAAGACTCCTCTGCACTTGCTTTCCGAGCATAATAGTAGGAAGCAAATCAAGTATAAAAGAAAAATTTAAACAATTTTATTGCAACTACTAGAAATATCGTGAAAGTAATTAATAAGTCTCATGTTACCGAAAGTTAAACGTGTAGTTAGATATATTTTTTTTTACTTCCGGAGCTTGCAACAAACAGATACAACGCGTATCAGTTTATATTATTAAATACTAATTAGATTTCCGAAAAAATTAGAGAAAGCTTTCAAAACAAGAAATAAAACATATTTAATTTTAGAAGTTAAATCACAGCAAAATTTCTCACCCGCAGTTAAAAAAGGCGTAGATTCATAAACCAGTATCAAGCTCACAATGTATAAATAAAATATAACTAGGTCTGCTATTAAAAATATGAAAAAGGTAAAAAAAATGTAGATTAACTAAATAAAGATTTTTAGTGTTCCCCAGTCTTAAAATATATTCAAATATTTTCTCAGGAACGCAGCATAATTTTTTTTCCGAATAGATCCAAAACATAAAATTCGTAAGCTTTAATCATATGAAGGACGATATGATTCATGCTTATCATATTATGCATGCATTTAAGAATTATCTAGGCAAATAATTTAAGGCATAACAGTTAGGTACACGTTTTACAATACAATGATATAAATAGCTTAAAATCCACCACGAATATTTGTTTTACATTGCACAATTAGCCCACTTTTATTAAAATGTTGAAATTTATCAAGACTTTGCCAAAATGATAATCCTGAATTGCAGATAATTTTTACTAACGAAATATTTTATATCGGTATCTACAAAGACATACTTCATGTGCTTTCCTAAATAACACAATACAAATTTTCACCAGTTGACTACATTTTAACTCATAAAATGGCCATCAGATACCAAAGTATCAAGTTTCTGCAGAAAGTGATTTACTTTCTGCATATTGCGTACCTTATATTCGAAGAAGTATCATATCTGAATTATATGATTAACTCGTATGGAGTGGAGATAAATCGGCTTGAAGATTCTCTGTGAGCCTGATTGACCTTTTGTTTACCTTTTCATTGGGGTGGCGTATTAGTTTGTACCAGACAAAAGAATTTTTCCCCTTTCTTAATTATTTGTCATGCTAGAAGTTATAATTTCTTACTCATTTACTATGCTAGAAGCTGCAGATAATAAAATATGCTTTTCGTACATGCTTTCAGACTTAACTTTTTTTCTTTCTTCACTTTATATTTTTAGTTATTTCTGGAGAGAGCTTGTTCGCTCACAGGTATTTCAAAATAGAATCCATTTGGTTACAATAGTACCACTATATGGAGAAGCTTCATGCTGATTTCTTCTATGTGACAGTGAAAATTACAGCACAGCACTCCAGATATTCGATCATATTTCATAATCAGGAAAGTGCGCATGTTTTACTTGTGGATGACAAGGTATGTCAGCTTATTGGGAAGATTTTCTGGAAGCAAAATATATCAGATCTCAGCTGGAACAGCTCCTTTCCCGCTTTAAATTCTCTTGAATTTGTAAAACAATAAATTCAACTAACATGTTAGGAGACATCAGTCATATTCTGGACCTCTGGAAGTTTTGGAAAAGCATGAGAGGAAGTCTAAGACTTTCAAAGTAAAGCTCCAATTGGACAATATTTATGTAACTCATATCAGATAACTGTATGGAGTCAAATTTCTCTGCAACCTTAAATATCAATGAAATTGCTTGGGTATACTTTGGTACTAAGCTTTATGATTATCGTAGTACAAGTATTAATTTTGTCCGCATTTTCTACCTTTGAGCTTGACCTTCTGCAAATATGGAAAGTACTTCCAGCGAAAGACTAAAGAAATGCGAAAGATAACTTTAATTAGATCGAAATTAGATTTAAACAGAGTTATATTTCGTGGAATACACGTGATGCGAATGTTGGTGTCTTCTGTAGGATGGCACATAAAAATAGCTTAAATCAAAGAGTATTTTACCCTAAAACTCACAAAAAATAAAAACGCGAAATAAATTTATTATGTAGGAATCATACATTATTTTGGACCTTCTGTTGAATAATACCGCTGTAATAAAAATATTTTAAGATTTCTAATGAGAACATAAATAATTACATTAAATAAATGTCACGATTTGCTTCTACTCTAGGTCAGAGTTTCTGTAAAATCTCCTTAAATCTTTTCATAAATGCTCTTTTAATTTCTTAAAAACATTCTATAAAAGCAAATTTTCTGTTCGAAAGTATCTTCATACGTATATGTCTCTCCATTATAATTAGTCTTTCAATGCTGATAAAAAGTCTATTCTATATATGACAATGTACAGGTTTTTCAGTTTTCGTAATAAAAGTCGCATCTTTATTAGCTTACAGAAACGATGTGGTACAGGTCCTTAAAAATTGCATATAATCTCAGATTTTTTTTCTACTACAAGAAAGGATATTTTATTACTTGCCCTTACACCTTTCTTTTCAATTCTATAGCTAGATTGCAGATATTAATCTCAAATGACGATAACTTAAAAAGGAACTTAGTGTAAAAAATAAATTTGAAGTAAACTGCTATGGCAGTGCGTGTACATATCCAAAAGAAATCAGAATATGTACTAAAGCGAATACTTGCTTTAATTAAAGCTTACTTTTCTCCTTCAAGGCAAAGAATAAAGATAAAATTCATGCTAGTTGCACGCCATGTAATATTTTAAGAACTCATAATAAGAGAGATAACTGTAATAGAGATTAAAATAGATAATGGATATTAAAAAACTATAGATAATAGAGATTAAAAATTAAAAATAAAATTTTAATTTTGATTTAACTTTAATTTCACATGCATATGTACAACCGAGTACGAGGTTTTGATAATACATACACACACATATATATATATGTATATATAAAGCACGAAGTATTACATCAGTGTTTTAATCTATTTGCAGCTGGAGCCGTCATCACACCGTTTCTTACGGTCTACTTCAAGCAGCGCGGACTTGCTCTGTCAGAACTGTCAACAATATACATGATTGCTCCTATAGTCCAGTTTATAGGAACAACTTTATCTGGGGTAATAGCAGATAAAATAGGCCGATCTAAACCAGTTCTTGTAGGTAATGTTATTCTTACAATGATATTTGTTGCCGGTATGCTTATAGTACCAAGAATGAGTACCGAAAGTTGTGAATCACATTCACTCAACTTTGAATGCGATCAACAAAACTTGGGTAGACTGATCGTAAAAACTCGCTCTGAAGTAACAGAAGATGTTATCGAAGCAAATTCTTGTAAAATTACATGCCCTGAAAATGTTACACAATCATGCCCTGGAGATAATATCATGTGTATCGAATTAGCAGATAAACAAAATTTCGTGAACTTGTCTACGACTGTTCACATTAATGGTACTTCAAGAAAAAATAGTGAAACTTTTGATCACCTTCTTTCTCAAATGCATAAAAATACAACTTTTTCTTGGTGTAATGAGTCACAAAAACGAAACTGTACTATAGGCTGTAGGTTTTTATCCGATGAAAAGTGTGCATGGGAAACTGGGAACAGATGGAAGCTCTTGGTTACGAACATCATGTTGTTTGTTCTTTATCTAACTGCGTACTCCAATTGCTATCGTATTCTAGATGTGGCTTCAATGTCTTTAGTGAAAGAACATAACTCTGATTTCGGACGAGAACGTTTCTTTTCCGTCCTTGGTATCTTAATATTCTCTCCCATTGCCGGATACGTCGTTGACGCAAGCACAGCCGCAGGAAGTGAAAAAAATTACGCATCTGCCCTGTATTTTTTCATTGCAGTGCTGTTCTTATTTTTAGCTGTCATCTGTAAACTTAAAATCAAAATTGAAGCTCCAGGAAAAAATATGTTGAAAAAGACATTTTACTTGATTCAAAATGTTGATGTTATTTCATTCATTTTAGTCCTTTTTGTTCTTGGCACCACATGGAACTTTACAAAGAACTTTACGAAACTGGTTTTTAGTAGAGTTAAACACACCAGGCTTTTTACTAGGATTAATTCCAGCTGCGAGTAGTTTATATGGGCTGCCATTTTTATTAACTACCAACTGGTGGGTAAAGAAAATAGGCTCCTCTAATTTATTCATATTAGCTCTTTTAGGATATACAATAAGCGCAATTGGCTATTCTTTCTTGTATGACCCATGGCTGGCTCTTCTCTTAGAAGTTACTTCAGTATTCACTTATCATTTGTTATGGGTAGCTGTAGTCATTCACAGTCACGATATAGCACCTGAGGGCCTTACAGCAACGGTTATTTCTACTGCAGGAGCTATTCATTACAGTATAGGTAAGCAACTTAACATAAATATTACAAGTAAATAATTATTTTACTTACTTATAAATTTATTTTAAAATCCTAAATATTGAAATTTGAGCATAAAAACTAGTAAAAATAAATTTATTTTTATGTTACTTCCATTCCTTTTCAGTTTTATTTGCTTATTTTAAAAAATAAGAATTAATATTCGTTTTCTGAATCAGGAAGTACTGTATTATTCTTTATTTAGTCGCTATGAGGCATTTCTTCTTAAGTGAAAGATATCGCATATTATTTCCTTCTTGACGAGATACATAATTTTATCATTATTTTCATTAAAGCATTCTTTTGTGGATGGGAACGTTATGCAATTTCATGATATTACATAATTAAGAAAAATGGGTTACTAAACTTTGTAAGGAACATACATATGAATGATCTAAACATTTTAAGAGCATTATCGAGGAGGCAATTATAATATACACGATGATAACATTTCAGATAATTTTCAGCATCATTGTTCTATATTCAGCTCATAGTAGAAAATTATTTTTTAGACTTAAATATGCATACACGTAGCTGAAGAAATTTAATTTTATATAACGCTAATTTTCAGAGTTTCTACATTTCAAGAAACTACCACAGTCTGCCTTCTTCAAGGCTGCTGAAGCAGACAGAAAAATCAGAATAAATAGCCTTAAAATTAGAAAAAAAAAGAATTGTTCTTTCGCTTGTAGAAAATAATTTTTAATTTGGGACTCATTAAAGACTAAATTTGAATGATATGGATTGTTAAATTTTAGCTTGTTTAAAGTTATGCTCATTCGAATTGTTAGATAATTCACTTGATTTAATCAGCTAATGCATCGGATGCGAACAGAATTTTCCTCAGTCATGCAAAATATATGAACTAAATTTATCTGTTTGCAAATCTAACTAAGATCTTTACTATTCTGCTTTTAAGAAAGCTAAAAAGGAGCAATTTCAAGTCATCGTATTTACTGCTCCTTGTCTTTTGTAGATGTTATAAGTATATCAACAAATACCTATGACACACTTGCATATTTACTTATGTCTTATTTTATTAAGTAATTTATTAAAACTCAATAATTAATAATTTTAGAAAATTCAGGCACATTAGCTTAAAGAAAATTTATTAATGAATAAAATATGACAATAGAGATTGACATATTCTTTCCCAACCCAAACAAATGGCATATAACTTGTTTTGACCGGCAAAGCCGTATATACAAGGACTAGATTATTTTTTGTGGCGTCTTTCATGTGTGCAGTACAAATGCGTACGTCTTATATACGAAAGTATAAATATCTTGAAATATGTCCAAGAAATTACGGGATTATATTAAAAGTACATAAATCCAGCTATAAAGTATCAGGCGCATTTTGGCATTAAAATAAAAAAACTCTTTTTCTGTAGTTTAGAGAAATTTGAGTTTATTTAGACAAACTCTCCGTGGCGATAAGAAGGTAAATTTTTGTAATTTAAACTTTGTATTTCTGTACAAACCTCACTTCAACTAATCAGTTTTGTACAGCGGAAATAAATTATTCAGCTTTTGTGATATTGCGCCAAAGGCAAAGGTGCTGCCTATTTTTTCATCAGCGAATAGTTGATTTAAAAGTTAAGACAATCGCTTTAAAAATTAAGGCAGCAATTTTTAAAGCGATTGCAATTGAAATTCAGGTTAGAAAAATGTATCATTTTGAAATGCCAAAGTACTCGAGAAGACTGTGTATAACACTGCTTTTGGTTTTCAAATTAATAATGTTGTGAATTTTGTACATATATGGATAATTTTAGTGAAATTATATGTACATTGTTGCATTTTTCTATATAATGTTGCATGAAAATCTAGAGGATGCTCTGCGGGAAAAATAAGAAAACAAGGGCAAGTCTTTTAATGTTGAATAAATCGCTTTCTCGCTAATTTGGCGAGATATCGCCAAGCTTATAGAAAGCTTTGTCTTTTAGATGCACTTTACTTGCGTTGTGTTTAACATTCTTAGTAGTTTGAAATGTACCTCCGTAATATCTGTACAGTATTTCTGTGGAAAGGTCCAGAACTCTGACGTGTTTTATTTGATGAAATAAATTTTATCAGCCTGCTATCAGAGGTGTGCGCATTCAATCTATTACGAGCCCGGACACACGCAAAAATAATGATAAACAACAGTATTGAATTATTTATATTCAGTTAAAAGTTATGTGATAAGCATGTTATAATTCTTTAAGGAAGAAGAATTTCTTAATTTTCTGTGATGGGGTAGTAAAATATGATGCCATTATATAGTAGAACAATTGTTTTTGACAAGACAATTTTTTCTTGTCAAAAACTATTGTTAAGATGGCAATAAATATATTCGAACACATGAATTTATTGCATGTGTAAATGTGATTTTGTAACAATAATAAGATAATTTATTTATTCAGGCAAGGGTACAGGCAGTCTGACTGGTGGTTTGATAATGGATGTTTACGGAGGAAGAACAGCATTCAGAGTTATAGCTATTATTTGCCTGGTTGCTGCAGTTCTGTATGGAATTTATGCATATATACGCCACTCTTGTTCCTCAACGAAACATGACGTTAGTAAGAAAGGTGAGTTTATCAAATGAGCCATATAAAATATAGTATATGGATTCTAGAAATAATTAATCTTGGACTGTTATGGCAATCTAAATTAATATCAGCTTTACATTTTAACTGTAGAGTACAATTAAAATCAAATATTCACCGTTTCTTTTTAATTTTAGCCTATCTGGAACTAATCTCCTAGGCTTATATGACATAAGAGGGCCTACTGTTTAAATAAAATAACACTTTCGTTAAGATTAGGAAGTTTCGATAGCGAAGGATAGTTAGACAATAATCTATCGTGTGCACTATTTACAGTAATTATTTTGATAGAATACAAACGTGTCTTAATGATACTACACTTGATTTTTTAGTTAGTTTTTAAATCATTAAGTTTTCTATTGCTTGAATTTGTAAACCAAAATAATGTAGAAAATCAGATCCAATAATATTCGTTGACATACTTAAAAATCAAAATTTAAATTGTGAAGAAGGCCAAGGTCGACACTGAAATGTTTTTTGTTTATAAACCGAAGTTCCGTTGGCAGCAGAAAAAAAACCGAATAGTTGTATGATGTGTTTCTTTTCTGGCTGTTGAGAAGAAACTGACACCTCAGCCAATGTGGCACAAAAAGATTTAATTTTTTCCGTTTCTAATAAAAAGGCGACAAGACTCAGAGGGTAAGGCAGAAGTTACCTTTACTATTTCCCCGTTATAGTCCTTTTCATTGGGTCGAATATGGAAGAGCACATTTTTTAGCTTTCTTGTTAAATTAACGACGGTACCAACAGCAGGAAGAATTCGAAGCAACTTTAGACGAAGGGCTTCGCTTTTGTTAACACGATTTTTAGAAACACTGCGTGATCATCGTCAAGACAATACTTCTTTACGTAATTCGCTCACTTTGTTCCAACAGGTTTAGAATTATTAGCCTCACTGCTGATAGAGCTGAAGAAACTGCGCTCACCTGGCCGAGTGTGACTTCTAATAACCAATACATAATGCTGGCGGTATTCGAAGAATCAGGCGGTCGAACAGACAGAAGGATAGATTGGATGTGTGGCGGCATTTGTTGAAGAAACAATCCAATAAAAATGAATCGTATATATTGTGTTTTTCCCCACGTCTTTTAATTACACGAAGCAATCCAGGTATCTGTCTATGTCTAAGTTGCTCACCGCTGAGTCATTTCGGATTTCTTGGGTACTATTTTCTCCATGACGCTCGGTAATGGCGGCTTTCAGGTCTTGGTAATAAGCATCAGTGCGCTACGGAAGTATGATATTTCGAACCAAAGAAGCGGTCTCCGGCGTCAAATACTTGACGAAATGGTAGAATTTCTTTTCAGGATTCGCAATAGACCTAGGTGTAGATAAAGCGAAAGTTGATTAGCACAGAGCCAAACGACAATATAAAAACTATAGGACTGAAGATCGGTATCTTTACCGCTGCTGTTTCTTCCAAGGCTCAAGCGCAGAAAACGAAAGTCTTGGAACTGCGAAGTTTTGAAATGAATTTTAAGCTCCATGCACGTAGACGGGTTCCATTGTAAAGAATTTTAGTGTGGCTCAGTGTTGGTTCTTTACACGTTATGACTATGCGTTATATAAAACAATCAACTTTATAAATACGACTAATTCGCAAAGAACACTGAAACTACTATAAGATACTTGAATTTAACAGAACGGGGGTAAAGACGATGCATCGTCAGCTGATGGCTTGCGTAGCTATTGTAAAACAATATGACGTCGGTTGGCGGCGTGCGCAGCTGAACATGAGATAACCACAAAATAAAAAACACAATAGTCCATACATCAAATGTTAGAGGACTTCGCAGGAAAACGTTGAAAATATATATATGCAATACAGGTAAGAGTCTTCATTTTTTTTTTTTTTTTTTTTTTTTTTTTTTTTTTTTTTTTTTTCTCAAGGAATGCAATGTACGTTTCAAGGTATTACTTCTTTCCTTTTCTTGATAAAGTTTCACTCTTAGAAAATCATTGGAATAAAAAAAAGAAAAGAATTCCTTCTATAAAATAACGGATGCCAAACTTTGTTTTAGTAATACCTTGAGTTGATTTTAACAGTTTTTCCCACACTTCTTATTTTAAATTTCCCATTGTAAGAGAGTTTTGTTGCAATCATAAACCATTTATTGAAACTTTCTTTGCATTGACGAAACCAGGTATGTACAAATTTTTCTCTTCGTTTTCAATAGTAAATAGATCTTTTTTAGCTGCAGTTATTTGGGTAAACCTATGCTTCATCAAGGTTCACAACGTATTTTCATTTATCTTCCGGTAAATAGTTTTCATACAGGGTTCTGCAAATTGTTCTGCGTTGAGCCACATGCCCGCGCAAAAGCCGATGAACATTTTTAGCCTTTTTCAAACTTTAAATCTTCGTTTATTATTTTATTTATTGTTGCTAAAGATGTATTTAAAGACTTTGGAATTGATTTCGCGTCGGCGGATTCCCTCTTGTTAAAAAGGATTTAACGTTAGAAACATTGGAAAGAGTACGTACCTTTTCAATGGTATACATTTGGAGTTTTCTTTCCATGCACACGTAATTACTTAATGTTCGATTAATAATGTTACTTATTTTGCACTTAGAAATTTTAATACTATGCATTTGGAAAATGTTTGTAAATTATGGAATAAGAATATTTCTCTTCGGAAAGCGCAAAAACATATCATTCAATCCAAGCTTATTTATATGTAACATTTTGAAAAAAGAATATATTTGAAAGTTGCAGTGCCAGAAAAGTTTACACAAAAACATTTGCTTTATTCTAATTCTTTATCGAAATCATTCTAAAAATAGGTAAACACCCTCCGTAGTAGCAAAATAAAGAATGAAAACACGTTCTTCGGGAAAAAAGTCTCGGAATGACATTAACCGGAGTCATTTTAAGGCATAAAAGAACGGGAGAAAACGCGACCAAGAACAATTTATTTCCCTAAACTTCAAATAATATAATGTTACTATATCCTGTTGTTTAACTTTAGTGCTGGTCTTTAGAAAACTTCATAAATTTCCTTGAACTTCCCAATATAAAAACTTCCCAATATATATTAATTGGAAATACTAGCTAGACTTCTGATAAATTTCTGAAATACACAAAAGCATATTTAAATTAATACATATTTTTAGATATAACTTAAGCTATCTAACAAATATATATTTAAGTAACTTTATATACTTGAGTTTAATTTTTTTACTGAGTGATGGAAAGCATAAACAGAAGAGGGGCACTGGTAAATGACATTCTAAAAAAATCTGTTTACAAACTTGCACGGAAGAACTAGATTTCATCTTCTAACCATACAACTAAATACTAATGGGAATGCTTAAAGCATATTGAAATACTATAACAGCAAACGATATCACAATTGCTAATATTGAAAGGCAATAAATTTTTGAAGAAAATTTGATTTCTCCATTGAGTCATAAAGAAGCAAACCTTCATCCATGTAACTCAATCTTAAATGTATTGTCAATTACTGTAATTGGATGTCTCAAAAAAACCATTTTTTTTTTTTTTTTTTTTTTTTTTTTTTTTTTTTTCAGATGTAACTGGAAGCATTGGATGCAATCGAAAGAAATATACACTCAAAGGAACGGAAGCTAGTATAATAAAATAATAAAGTTGATACTTTAGATTTATTGAAGAAATATTTATTACGAAACTGTTTTGTATTTTGTAGTAATTACAAAATTATTTAAAAATATTCAGCATTTTTTACTGTTTTTGTTTTAAATAAAAGTTTGTGCTGCTTGCTATTGTTATTATTCATTGAAAGTTGATTTTAATAAAGTAATATTATATACATACATATATTCTAAATTTCTTTGTCTTAAAAAATATGAATTCAAAATATTTATGGTGGCTTATTACTGTCAGATCCTTTAATACACTTTTAAATCTATTTAAGTTGAAAGTAAAAATATTATCATTATATAATTAGATAGAAGTTATGAGATTATATTTTTCGACTAAGTTCTATAGTCGTTTAACAGAAGAAGCATAGATAACTTAGTCGTACTCGGTTTGGTACGTGGAACGATGTTACTTGTTATACAAGGGTTGTCTGAAAAGTTTCCGACCTTAATATGCAGTTGGCAGCTCAAATCAACCGAAATGGAGGGGCTGAATGGAGGCAGCTGAATTTAAACGTGGCCATACCAGCTTGGATGACGATGAACATTCAGGACGGCCAAAAACTGCAACCACTGACGAAAACATCGCTAAAATCCACCAAATGATGCTGATGACCATCGAATCAAGGTTAGAGAGATATAAGAGGTTATTAGCATGCCCAAAGAACCTGTTTTCCCGATATTAAGCCAAGATTTAGATGTGGTCAAGCTGACTGCACACTAGGGGTCCGTTTCCGCACTGTGGACGAAAAGGTGTCCGAATGAACATTTGCACCGTTCTGTTGACTCAATAAATCAGTTAGTCGTTGTCATTAATATGCTCCTTGCTGTAAAGGTTAGCTGAACTATATACAAGTGGGAAATGTTGGATATAACTTAGAATATATCCAAAATATCTAAGAATAGTGTGAATAGGATACCTTAAAACATTTTCTTGTGGATGCTCCATTTATGAGTTAAATGCGTCATGAATTTAGTGCATCTGATTGAAAAGAATGAGTTAGAATATTATTATTATCAGTGTCTATGATAGGCAGGACACACGTGTTTTATTTTCATGTAATGGTTATAGGATTTAGCAAACATACTTTAAATAAAATCAGAATTTGTAAAAGTGAAATCTGAGATTTCGCGTTTATTCTAAGATTTGTATCGTAGCAATTTATCCCAAATCATGGAAGAACCCCTGTTAGTAATACTACAATAATAATTAAAAGATTCTTAACTACATTTGGTTAAATGCTAGTAGCATGAAAATAAATGTAATAGTTGCATAAAAATAAATAAAATACTCTGTGTTTGTACCAGCTAAACTTGGCTAGAAGGAATCTGTATCAGTTTAAGATGAATCAAAATGTAT